AATGAAGGGGATCAAGGACAGGAGTTCATTCCAGCAGGGATAGAACTTACCCAGATTGGATTCTCTTTACACTCTAAACAGAAATCAGGTTTCCCTTTTGGGTGGGTTCCAGCCTGGATGCCTTGAGCAGAGCTGGACTGATTCTGACAGTCTTTAGATGGGGACAGGCTTCTCTCTAAGCCAGCCTTTTTACACAGAACAGAATATTACAAATTATTATTAATAGTCAAAAAGTACAGTATTGAAATTAATTTTTCTCACCCTATAGAATATGTCAATGGGGTTTCTGAGTTTGCCATGTCCTTCTCCAGTCTCTTCCCATTTTACAGAAGAGGAACTGAAACAAATAAGGGTTAAGTGACTTGCTCAAGGTTACGCAGCTAGCACAGGTTTGAATTCAGATCTTCCTGACTCCAACATGGTGCTCTGTCCACAGTGGTCATCTACCCAAGAGCCAGTGTGGCTTCAGAAAGGGCTGTGGAACAGTCAATATGGCGTTCACTTCCTGACAATTACAGAAGAAATGCCAGGAGCAGAAAGGAGGTCTGTACACAATGTTCATTGATTTGACCAAGGGCTTTGATTCTGTTAGTCATGAGGGTGTGTGGAAGATCATGGCAAAATCTGGCTGCCTGGAGAAGTTCATCAGTACCGTATGCTTACCCAGGTTCTGGATAATGGATGATGTTCTCATACTTTCCTATTCACCAAGGGAGTAAAGCAAGGCTTTACTTGCTCCCAAGTTTTTTAGCATAAAGCTTTTTTTTTTTTGCTGAGGCAATAGGAGTTAAATGACTTGACTAGGGTCACACAACTAGTAAGTATCATGTGTCTGAGTTCACATTTGAACTCAGATCTTCCTGACTCCAGGGCTGGTGCTCTATCCACTGCGCCACCTAGCTGCCCCCTAGCATAAAGCTTTTAGCAGATGTTTTTGGATGCCTTCAATAAAGGCAAAAATGACAAAAAAAATCAGCTACTGCATTGACAGCAAATTATTTGACTCAAAGGCTACAAAGCAAGACTGAAGTAGAAGCAGAGTTGGTATGCAACTTTTTGTTTGCAGGTTATTGTATGCTGAAATGCAACAGAGGATGTATTTTCTGCTGCTTATGCTAATTTTGGCTTAAATAACACCAAGAAAAGATAGGTTCTCCCCCAGCCAGCACTGTACTATCTGTCCTTGGAACCATCAGTTATAGCAAATGGAGAAGTTTTGAATGCTATGGATAAGTTCACTTACCTTGATAGTATACATTCCAGGAATGTACACATTGATACTGAGGTTGATGCACGCATTGCCAGAGCTAGCTCAGTGTTTGGGAGGCTCTGAAGGAAAGTGTGGGAGGAGAGGTATTACCAAACTGAAGGTCTACAGGGCTGTTGTGCTGACCTCATTGTTGTATGCCTGTGAACCCTGGACAGTATACCAGCATCATGTTAGAAAACTGAATCACTTCTACTTGAATTGTCTTAGGAAGATTCTGAAGATCACCTAGCAAGATAAGGAACCAGACATTGAGGTTCTTTCTTGAGTTGAACTGCCAAGCATTCAAACTCTACTGCAGAGAGTGCAACTCTGATGGAGTAGCCATATTGTCTGAATGCCAAATATATGTTTCCATGAAAGACTATTTTATGGAGATCTCACACAAGGCAAGTGCTTACATGGAAGTCAGAAGAACTGATACAAGGACACTCTCAAGGTCTCTCTGAAGAACCTTGAAATCCATTGTGAGACATGGGAGACACTGGCACAGGACTGTTCAGCATGGTGTGCCTGCCAAAACAAAAGGCACTGTGCTTTATGAGCAAAGCAGAATTGCAGTGGCTTGTAAGAAATGTGGGATAACAAATTTAGAGACATTTCCACTCAAAATATTCATACGGACTACTAGTGACTGATCTGTAGGAGAGACTTCTGAGCTTATTGGTCTGATCAGCCACAGCTGGACACATTGTACCTTGGCACCAACACAGTGATGCCATTTTGGTCCTGCCTTCAGGCCCAATGCTCTATCCACTGTGCCACCCAGCTAGTCCTGTGGAAGAACTTTTTGTTGTTGTTATTGGGTTGTTTCAGTTGTGTCTGACTCTTTGTGACCCCATTTGGGGCCTTCTTGGCAAAGATACTGGAGTGGTTTGCCATTTCCTTCTCCAACTCACTTTACAGATGAGGAAACTGAGGCAAACAGGGTTAAATGATTTGCCCAGGGTCATAGAGCTAGTAAGTGTCTGAGGCCGGATTTGAATTCTGGAAGATGAGTCTTCCTTACTCCAGGCTCAGTGCTTTGTCCACTTTGCCCCGTAGCTGCCCTTGTGGAAGTACTAAAGAGGCGCAAATAAAACATGAGAAAGGATTGCATTCTCTAGAGAACAGGCAATAAAGTATTGAAAGTCTTTTCTGAGGTCTTTTGCCTCATTTAGCAGTAGGGAAGCCTGGATGGTGAAAACGTAATTATAGGGAGACAGAAAGATTTACCCCTGGCCAAAATGCAGGCTCAAAGCTAGGGACATTTCACTATTGGTCATCATACCTGATGTAGACAGGAAAGTGGGTAGCAGTCAAGGCAATAACCTTGCCTCCTTTGGCTTACCTTTTGTTCTGGCTATTCATTTGTAGGCCATCACCGAGAAAATCTTGGGAATTTCTAATTCCAAGTCTGAGACAAGAGACCCTGATCTCAGTACTAAGCACAGGGTTTGGGGGGAAAAAAACAAAGACCATCTTAATCAAATGCAGCTAGGTGGTGCAAGAGTGCGCAGAGCACTACTCCTGGAGTCTGAAAGACTCATCTTCCTGAGTTGAAATCTGGCCTCGGACACTGGGCAAGTCACTTAATCTTGTTTGCCTCAGTTTCCTCATCTGTAAAATGAGCTGGAGAAGGAAATGCAAAATACCCCAGTATCTTTGCCAAGAAGACTCCAAATGGGGTCATGAAGAGTTGGATATAACTGAAATGACTGAACAACCACAACAATCAGGGAGCATTCTGAATGGTTTTTCTTGGCTGTGTGTGGCATCTCCTAACTACAAAAAAAAAAAAAGAACCTTTTGGCTGTCCTTAGGAAGAGGCTTTCTTGGCACTGGTATCCTAGGAGACTGGAGCTGAGATGCCGATAGCAGAAAATAACGCCCATCAGACCAGGAATGAGAGGTGGTGCGGGGGAGAACAGTAGAGATGTGATGCCACGTGCATGTGCAGGCTCAGCACTTAGCAGTGCCCGCTAGGAGCAAACCCACAGAGATCAAGAGATGATGGCACATCAAAAACAAGAGTAACTTTCAGCAATGTGTTCCCCATAGGTGAGCCATTCTATATGTGTGTTCCCTGTGTGTGGGTGCCCATATATGATCCAGTCTTCCCATAGGTGGTACGTATATTTGTGGGGGAGTATGCCCGAGTGGATGGGGCAATACTATTTTCTATGATCCCGTGAAATGTCTCTGCTTTAAACTAATTAGCTAAAGTAATTCCCACCTACCTGCCAAGAGTAGTTGTCAGGATCCAATGAGATAATCAGATTTGGGGGGCAGAGCAGAAAAAAGTAGAGAAATAGAATTTTATGAAAACATTGAACTAAAATCAAAATCTAAATGTTACTGAAAGTTAGGAGGTGGGTAAGAGTGCTGCAGGATGGGAAATTCATATCCAGAGCTGTTGCCCAGTTGGTAAATGAGACACTATGTAAGAATGGATCCTAATGTCTATGAGAAAAAGATTTGACACCTACTTTTATATTCTCTCTGTTTTAATCTTTCCTTTCTTCTCCTCAGTAAGACTGCAGAAAAAGGTCTGTGGTTTTTAAATTCCTCTCAGGTATATCTGAAGGATGTGTCACTCTGGGAGGTAAATAAAAAAATAAATTCACAGAAGTATGTAGATCCTGAGTTATTTCCCTAAAGGTAAATGGTTCTGCACAATTCATTCTTTGTCTATTTATGAAAGTCCTCAGAACTGTTCATTTTTGTAACACTGATGTCACAAATCATTCTTTTGACTCTTCACTTTTCTCTGCATCAGCTCATCTAATTCTTCCCAAGTCTTTCTGAAAACCATCCTCTTCATCATTTCTTACAGTATAAGAATATCCCATCCATTCATATACCACAATTTACTCAGCCATTCCCCAAATGTTGGGCATCCAGTTTTGTTTTGTTTTTGCCACCACAAAAAGAACTGTTTTGAATGCAAAAATGTAAAAGCAAACAACTTTGAGAGCTGTGAGAAGTATGATTGATGAAGTCATCATTCCTGATTCCAGAGGACCAACAATGAAACATGATATTCATCATATAGACATGATGGATTTAGAGTATAGAATTGGATACATACTTCTGTCCACAGCCATTGAGGGAATTTGTTTTGCTTGACTATGTGTATTTGTTACAAGAAATTTGTGTTTCTTTTTTTTTTCTAATGGAGGTGAAGGTGCAAGGGAGAGAAAATAGATTTCTCTTATTTTTTTCTTTAAAGAGATGTGAGGGGTTCTACAGATGAGAAACATTGCCTGTATTTTCAGATGAGGTCACTACATTATGAGTTTCACTTAATTATTTTACTTTGTTGCAAGAGAACTCTTAGAGGGAGTAATCTCTAAATGTTTGTAATGTAAAAATAACACTCTGTGTGTGTGTGTCTTTCTGTCTCCTCAGTCAGTAACACAGGAGCAACGTAGAGGATAGTTTCTTATTTGGAGATGAAATAGGAAGTCCCTTTTAACAAGGATTCTTGTCCTGGGGCGAGGTGGGGAGTTTCTGTGAAATTGTTTTTTCAAATTATATTATGATAACTGTATTTTAATATAATTAGCTTCATTGCTATTCCTTTGCATTTTATTTTATACATTTAAAATATTCTGAGAAGGGGTCTTTAAAAGCTTCACCAGACTGCCTTGGGGATTCATGACACACACACAAAGGTGAACACCTATAGAGGACCAATGCCAGAACTGGGGTGGAGCTTAGAGAAAGAGGGAAGTTAAGCATGTTTCAACAACTTTGCACAAGCTTCTCAGTCCAGGGGAGCTGTTTCAAAAAGTGAATCCAATATCTGTCAGAAAGATTTCAGACACTGCTTCTATGTTGCCTCTGCTCTGGTGTTTCCTCCTTTCCCTCCTCAGGACAGAAAGAGCAGGTAAGAAGTTTTAACTTGCACCAGATACTTTTGAAGGGCATGCCATCCCAGCGGGGAGATGGATCACTAACAAAAGAAGAGAAGGATGCCAATCTTGGGTTACTTCTGCAAAGGGAAATGAGCCTAAGAACACTAAGCTTGCTAATCAAATATTCACCCTTGGATCCTTTCCACTCCCTCAGGAGCTTTCTCTAAACAGATGAACTTGAAGTTCATGTAGTTAAGTAGTCTTTTATGGAAACTAACAACACAGATATTTTCTAGAAACTTTACTCTGGTTGGTGTTACTACCTCCTTGCTCCAGTGTTTCATATGTCTAAGGATATTAGGTGAAATAGGTGAAGATTTTTAATTTTAGGTTATTCACATGTATTGCATCTATTTTGTATACACGTACATGCATTTATAGTGTGTTCCCTTAACTTTATCCTCTGCATTAGGAGTTCTTAACCGTTTTTGTGTCAAGGACCCCCTTTGGAAGTCTAGGCAAGCCTACAGACCACCTCAGAATAATGTTGTTAATGCATAAAATAAAATATATGAGATTAGTATAGAAACCAATTATATTAAAATAAAGTTGGAATTTTTTTTTCTCCATTCAAGTTCACACACTTCTTGAAAACACAGATTCCTTGGGGACTTCCACTTGAGATTATAAGCTCCTCCAGCACAGAGACTCTTTCACCATTGTCTGCATCCCCTATGCTCAGGATAGTGCCTAGGACATTGTAGATGCTTCGTAAATGTGAAACAACCGATAGCAAACTGAAAGAGGGATATGGTGCCAAAGATATTACTGTCCTATGCTGGAAGGGAAAATAAAAACAATAATCCTCTAAAGCAGTGTGTGCTTTGAAAGAGATATTTTATCACACAGATGCAGCCAGGTAGAGTGATAACCAAAAGAAATAAGATTCTGTTTGAGAAAGGTGAAAAGTTATCAAAAGAAGAAGAAAAAGTCTCCTGCAGTAAATAAAGTATATAATTATTTCCATTACTATTTGAAAGGCTCTATACTTACTCTTCATCCTTCTTTTTCTAAAACTGGGTTATTTAAGATTTCTCTTTGGTGTGTTTTATAATTTTTAAGGTGATCCTTTGTATCTTTTGTGTTTTCAGTTTTGTTAGCACATAATTATGCATAATAGATTTTGATAATTCTTTTTTGCCCTCTGGTTTTGTTTTGATTTCACCTTGTTCATTTGCTACTTTGCTGACTTGATTTTCTGACCTCTTCTTTTTTATCAGATTGGCTAAATGTTTATAAGTTTTATTGATTCTAAGAACCAGTTTTTAGTTTCATTTGTCATTTCTATAGTCTTTTTTGGTTTCCCAGTTTATCTATTTCTCCTCTAATTTGTAAAGATCTTCTCTGTTGCGCTGTGGGTTCCAGGATTTAACAAGGACAAGGAGAGACAGTTATCCAAGTGAGATATTCTTTATTAGCATGCAACCTGGTAGTAGAGGGGTCATACTGGCTTGTCTCCATTTTGTGGCAAAAGATTAGAAGTGAGAGCTGGCAAAGGATTTTCATCCTTAGATGTGTCTTCTTCTGATTGGCCTGGCAGCAAATTATTGGGAACTCCTCTAGCTATCCTGATTGGTGGACCTTTTAATGAGGAGGTGAGCCAAGAGTTCACAATCCCTTCCTCATTACTGGGAGAGGAGAAGAACTACTCAGGTGGATGGATCCCTTCAGCTTTACTACAGCTTTACTACAGCTAGGGAAAATGATTTTCAAATGCGACTGACCTGCCTCTCACTGGCATTTAAGAAACCCAGCTTCCTGTAGCAATCTTTGGCTAGAAAATCATAAGCTATCTCAATCAGATTTTTTACTGGCTTAATCTCCCTTTTTAGACCAGATCATTCTAAATCTTGATGAAGAGAGTAGTAAGGAGAAGGAGACATGTTCTGTGGAGCGATCTGGCTCCATATAGCTTTTGTTTGCTTTCTCCTATAAACAAAAGTAAGGATCCTTGCTCAAGACTTTATCTTTAAGCTAATGTAAGAAATGACCTTTTGAACAGAAAAGGAAATATTACAAATTAATAGTAATAATCAAATAATACAGCATTAAAATTAATTTTTCTCAGTACCTGTTTTAGGTTTTCTTGTTGGTTGACTTCCTAATTTAAAAAAATGCATGTTTAGTTCTTTAATTTTCTGTTTCTATTTTGACTTCTACTTTCACACTTGTCACCTTGGTGAATTTAGAAAGAAATCTCTTAATGGCTTCTTTGTTGTTGGTGGTTGTTTTATTACTTACCCTTCTCCTATTTCTGTTGTCTGGGGTCTTTGAAAAGTTAAATAATTTCCTCGGGTCTGGTTTTCTCTCTAGGAATGTTTCAAATGCCTTTTTAAAAAAATTGAGTACATACCTTTTTCTATTAGTGGCTAGACTCAGATTTGCATCTTTGGCTGCCCCTTGAGATCCTTTACTCTTCAGAACACATTTTTCCACTCCCTCCTGTAGTTTCTGATAGGTGTAAAATAGTCTCGTGATATTCAAATTTCCTTTTCTTGTATTTGAAGGTCTTTCTTCGGGTTGCTCGTAAAACTTGTTGTTAGTGGAATTGTTACGTTTAACCAACCATGAGTCTTGGAGTTTGTAGCGTAGAGTATTTTCTAGAAGCCATCCATGGATTCTTTCAGTTAGCATGTGGTTTTCTGTGTTCAGAAATGCTGGTCAGTTTTCTAACATTGTTTCTTGCATTGAATGTTAAGGAACTTTTTTTTTAAACTTACATTCTTCTGAGAGCCTTATAATCAAGAGTGTGTCGGAGCCAACTCGAATTGGTTCATGAGAACTGGTGGTTAAATTTTCATCGTGAGCATTTATAACTCAGAAATTGAGGTAAACACTACAAATCAAGGCTAATTTATTATTTTGTTGATTGTTTAGTCTTAAGAAGGTGATGGAGGGGCAGCTAGATGGTGCAGTGGATAGAGCACTGGCCATGGATTCAGGAGGACCTGAGTTCAAATTGGGCATCAGACACATAACACTTACTATCTGTGTGACCCTAGGCAAGTCACTTAACCCCATTGCCTAGCAGGAAAAAAAAGGGATGAAGAAAATGCTATACTGCAGATTAAACTTAAAAGTATGTGTACATACTTTTTTTGAGTCAATTTATTAAGTATTTCCTAACACATTACTGTTTATAATTCTTAAATTGTCTTAATGCGTCCTTTCTTTAAGATCATGTTTTGATTTCATGGAGATTTCTCGTTCCTTTAATAACACACTTTTAAGTTTAATTTTTATGTTAAAGTTGTATTTTGTTTTGGTCCCCTAACCACTTGCCCTCCCTACCTCCCCTTCAAGTTAGTATAGTAAGTTTATAAGCAGCCAATACAGAGTAATAACATCAGGAAGTAAGATGGCAAGGAGAACTAAGAAGTCACTTACAAACTGTCCCAAAGATCAAGGAAGCATATTTTCAAACGATATTATATATTAAATACCTCTTTTTTTTTGCATCAGCTGAAGCATAATAAATTCTACTCCAACCCACTATTTTAACTCTGTATGTATCTTTCATTTTTTTTTTAAAGCAATTAGGGTTAAGTGACTTGCCCAGGGTCACACAGCTAGTAAGCAGCAAGTGTTTGGTCTGAGGTCCAATTTAAATTCAGGTCCTTCTGACTTCAGGATGGGTGCTCTATCCACTGTGCCACCTAGCTGCCCCTGTATCTTCCATTCTTAAATGTGTTTCTTGTAAATAGCATATTGTTTGGATTCTGATGTTTAATCCACTTTGCTATCCATTACCATTTTATGGGTGAGTTCATCCTATTCACATTCAAAATTATAATTTTTATGAATTTCCTTCTATCCTATTTTACTCACTATTGTCCCTCTCAGCCTTTTTTAAAAAATCTTCTTCCCTTAGCCTCCTATTCCATATTTTACCCACCCCCATAAGAATCCCTCCCTTATCCTCTCCCTCCACCCTCCTAAATCTTAATCTACACACCCTTCTAAAAGTCCCTCCCCTACTTTGTCCCCCAGTTTTCTCACCTCTCTACAAGTCTATGTTGGACTTCTACACCCTTCCAGAGTGCAGGAAGTTTCCTCTTCAGTTAGATCTGATGAGAGCAAGGTTCCAATATTATCAGCTCTCCACCTTAACTTGTTTACTCTGTATCAGCTCTTCCTTTCATGCCCCGTTTCTTTGAGATAATTGCTCTTTTTTCTTTTCCCACCCTATTTTGTTTTTTAAAATCACCCCATCATACACAACTCAGCCCCAACCTTTCTTTCAAACTACTCTCGTATTTATGACAGTCTTAAGAATACTGACAACATTTTCATACATACGAAGTAAATACACCTATTGCTTTTAATAAGGCTACAGTTGACTTCTGCTGTAAGTCCTGTAGGTCAGTTTATGTAGCCCGGTTGCTATCAGCATGGGGGTGGGGTTGGAGAGCTGAGTGAGTGAGTTAGAGATCAGAGGTTAGCTTTCTTTGTTGTTAGTTCACCGAGTTTTTACCTTGTTCTTAATGTCCTAAACCATGGAGATGGGTGAAATTGCTTTATTTCAAGAGCATAATTCCTATTTTAGGGAGATTTGAAAGATTGTGAGGATTAGAGAAAATATTTAATCTTCTAGCATGTGGTCACTGACCTGGAATTAGCAAATTGATTTTATACCATCTTGTCTCTCCTCAAGCCTCCTATGACACCCATTCCCTTCATTCTTACAACTGGTTAGAACTGTACCTCATACTTTACTGAGAGAAATTAATATTATATGATTATATTAATAACTAATTATGAATTTGTTTTTCTTCTATTTTTGTTAATGCCCCCCAAAAGGTCGGTCAGTCAGTCTCTGAAGGGCATGGTTGAGTGATGAAATTACTCCTAGTTCCCAAGACACAAGCTAGATTAGGCTGGACTCCACCCAACTGGAAGCCCAATTTCTTTTTAGAGTAGAAACAAGATCCAGTCCTGGTGAACCTTTGACTGGCGAAGGAACCCTTTGTCCTTGATCCCCTCTACTAAGAGTTTAGGGCAATCCAGCTCATGAAGGAGAAGACTAGCTAGAGAGTTCAGATGGAAATAGCTTCCCATGCCCAGACGCCTGGAGGCAGCTGAGTCTCTTGATCAAACCACATTCTCAGCAAGAGGAGATAAAGACTTTTAGCCCACCTTCTCATTAAAAGTCCACCAATCAGAGTTGAGTTTCACTTGCCAGGGAAGTTTCCCGTCAGAAGACATTTAAGGTGTTTCAAAGCCCCATCTTTGGTTACCAAGAGAAACCACTGACCATCAATTTATTGATTATCTGGGTAGCCTAATTAATAAGTTGATTACTAATTACCCCAAAACTGTTTCTCTTGGGATTTTCATTCATCACATTACCAAAACAGAAACAAAAACTTTAGTCTATTTGCCCTGAGTTCTCTCTCCCCCCATTTCATATCTCTCTGACATATCATCCCCCACTACTTTCTCCTTCCTCTCTGATGAAGATATAGACTTCTCCTTTCCACATCCATCCAACTGCAAGCTGTTCCTCCATTGCTCCCATCCTCAAAAAACTTTCACCGAATTACACCATCCCTATTCACTGTTGCTTGATTTCTCTCCTTCCCATCTCCGATAAACTTTTGGGAAAAAATTATCTTTTCTCAGCAGTTCCACTTCCTCTTTTTTACACTCTTTTCTAAATCAGCTACAACTTGCTTCTGACCTGATCCTTCAACTGAAACCTCTCTCTAAAGTTTATGATAATTCCTTAATTGCCAAATCTAATGGCTTTCTTTGGATTCTCATCCTTCTTGGCTTCTGTGCAGCATTTGACACCTTTGACCACCCTCTTCTTTTGGATGTTCTTTCCTCTCTGAGTTTTCATGCCAGTCCTCTCTCCTGGTACTTCTCCTACCTTTGGCTGTTCCTTCTCATTGCCAGATCTTCATCCTTATCACTACCCCTAAATTATCACCCAACTGACCGCTCCCCCCGCTTTTTATTCTCACTGGACTATCTTCTTTGGTAATCTTATAAGATCCCACGGGATCAGTTATCTTTTCTATGAAATTAAGTCCCATATCTAGGTACACATCCCTAGTCTTGCCCAGGAGCTCCAACTCCATCTCCAACTGCCCATTAGATATTTTGAATTGGATATCCAGCAGGTATCTGAAGCTCACCATATCCAAAACAAAACTCATTATCTTTCCCCAAAGTCCTACCTCTTCTAAAATTCCTCATTATTGTCGAGGGCACCACTATCCATCCAGTCTCTGGGTTGTCAACTTCAGTATGCCTCCCAACTCTTTACTCTCTTTTAACTCACATATCCAATTAGTTTCCAAAACTTGTCATTTGTACCTTCACAATGTATCTTCAGGCTTTCATCACTTTTCATCTGCACTGTTATAATAGCCTTCTATTTGGTCCCTCTACCCTTGTCTCTTCCATGTCCAATCCACCCTTTACACTGCCTCCAAGATGATTTTCCTAAAGCACAATTGTGAATATATCATTCCCTCATTCAATAAACTCCTCTGGTTGCCTATTATGGCCGTCCAATGTAAAGTCTATTGTTTTGCATTTAAATCTCTTTACAACCTGTCTCCTTCCTCACTCTTTACTCCTATTTATTCTTCATTTTGCAAGTTAGTGGCAGGCGTAAAACCTCCAATTCCTAGTTTGATGTTCTTTCCTTAAAAAAAATTAAATTAGATCTTATTTATATTTTCTGCCTTTACATCATCATATTTATCTCTATTACCCCTCTCTCCCTCCTCCCAGAGAGCCATTCTATATTACAAATAGTATTTAAAGCCCCACCCCCAGAATAAAGAAAAAGAAGGGGGAAAAATCAGCACAATTGATCACTAAGTTGAAAAAATCCAAAAACATGTATAATGTATAATACCTGTGGACCTCCTACCTCCATAAATGGGTAAATTGAAGGTATACTTTCATATCTCTTCATATCAGTCTTTATAACTTATATTTATCATGTATATTATATTTATAATTTGTTGATCTTTATAATTTTGTTACATTCAATTTTGATTGTTTTGTGTGTGGTTGTTATTGAATGGGATGTCCCAGTGAAGACTTCTCAGTGTAATTAAGGTAATGAGTTGAGAAGGTAGTGTGAGAAATGAACTCTCAGAAGTGAAGGCTCCTCAAAGGGTCAAATAATTCTTGATATTATTACTTTCAAAATCCTCCCTCACTTAGACCCTGTTTTTAAGCACTTAACAGAAAGAATAAGCCCTGCCCCACCCCCAACCTGAGCTTCCGGCCTCTTTCCTTGTCTTTGAATTTCAGACCTAGAACGTAAGCCTCACCTCCCAGTTAAGAGGATAGGAAGAAACTTTCGAGCTTAGAATGTAAGCCCACCCCCAGGTAAGGGGGTAAGGGATAGTGGTGGGTGGAAACTTGTTTGTGTGGTGGTTGGAGATTTGCTTTCATAAGGCGGCCCCTGTTACTCCCTCTCTCTCTCTCTTCTCTCTCTCTCTCTCTCTCTCTCTCTCTCTCTCTCCTCTCTCCCTCTTCCCCCCCCGCCCTCTCGTGAGATTGTAATAAAGGTAACCTTTACTTTCCACCATGAGGTCTCTGAGTTTAATTTGGGTTGGGGTGGCTGTCCCACACATTATTTCAGCTAATATTGTTGTAGTTACTACGTATAGTATATTGTTTTCTTACCACTGCTTACTTTACCCTGCATCAGTTCATATATATCTTCCCATGCTTCTCCGTGTTGATCATATGCATCATTTCTTATAGCATACTAATATTCCATTACATTCACATACCACAACTTGTTTAGACATTCTCCAAGGGGTATCTACTCTTTCCAGTTCTTTGCTATCTCTCTCTCTCTCTCTCTCTCTCTCTCTCTCTCTCTCTCTCTCTCTCTCTCTCTCTCACACACACACACACACACACACACACACACACACAGGAAATCTCCTCTCCTTTCCAGAGAGGGTTTATCTTACTCTCTTTGTTATCTATCCTCTCTGTCTCCTGGTTCATGATCAATATAATTATCTAGACAGGGGTGGGGAACCTGCAGCCTCGAGGCCACTTGTAGCCTTCTAGGTCCTTGGGTGCAGCCTTTTGACTGAGTCCATGTTTACAGAAAAAATCCTTTTATTAAGGAGATTTGTTCTGTGAAGTTTGAAGTCTCTCACTAGAGAGGTACGAGAAGCCCTCCTGCGTCTCCTTCCTAAGAAATAGCACAGTCAGTGTGTTTATTTGTTCAACTCTTGGCATAGTCGGCAGAATCTGGCCTTCAGAAGGAAAGTATGGGGTTTTAGTGGGACTGGCATGGGTATCCCCAGATGTTTTCCTGTGATTTTGTTTTTTGTAACTATGGTTCTATGGATTTCTCCCCAGGGATGGAAGGATGGAGGATGGCCTCCTTCCCAGGAGTGGGAGGATGTGCCACTTACCCCCAGAGGCTTTGAGGAAGTTTTGCTGAAGTGTTGGGGGTACACTTGATAAAAAGGGAGCTAGAAAGGCTTCAGGAGTGTAGGAATGCTGTTTGAGACTCAGACTGACTTAGCCCCAGAGCTGTGGGAGAGTCAGTATGCAGTGGCAGAGACAGCAGCATTCTGCACCAGTTCAGAGAGAGACCTTGGAGCAGTGGCAGAGGCAATGGCCTTGGAGCAGGCAGCAGCAGCCTGAGAGGAACCAGGTGAAGAGTGGTAGCCGAAGCAGCAGCAGCAGTGGGAGCAGTTTCCCTGGAGCCCAGAGTGGGGCCCCGTGGAGATAACCTCTCTTTCCGCTTCCCTACCCCACCTGCACTTGTGAGGAGACCAGCCAGAGGTGACTATGACTGTGACTGTGGGGATTGGGAGAGGAAAGTAGACAATTTAGTTTCTAGTCTGGTTAAAGTTAACCATTGTGAGAAAAAGTACTGTCAGTGGAAGCCCAGTTATGGGAGGTTTGGACTGATTTATCCCAGGAATGGGAGGAAAGGGAGGCATGTGAGAAAGCCAAGAATTGTTAGACCCAAATTCTCAGGGCCCGGATGTTTGTTATTCCCTCCGCTCAAGAGCCAGAGTTATCAGATAAGCTGGAGGAAGACTTTGAATTTGTTGTAGTAAAGGTGAAGGGTGCATGGGAGAAATTCCTCTTAAGTTTTCCTGCACCAAAGGAGGAAAGGGTTAAAGCTAAGATGCTGCCAGAGACAGCTGGGATGGGGGGCGGATTTCTATTGAACTTCTCAGAGCCAAGGCCATGGCTGGAGTCAGAGCAGGTGGGAGTAGCCCCTCCCTACGTGAGGCTGGAGGGAATTAAGTTGTCCTGAGCCCTGGCTGGAGTAGCTCCACCTGAGAGGTGAGATCCCTGAGTGTGCCAGAGGGGCGGACGCCCTGGAAGTGTGCTATGCCCAGAGCCCAGGTTGGAGTGGTCCCTTTTCCTGTGCAGGGGGAGAAGGAGCTGCCCCAGAGTAGGGGTGGTGCGGGCCAGAGACAGAAGCTGGGGGCAGGAGACCCCAGAGACTGCTGCCTGGACCCAGGAAGAGCAGGGAGCTGCAGAGGGTGGAGCAGCCCCTTCCAACATGAGGCAAGATCTGCAGCAGGAGCAGGGAGCCAAGGAGCTCGGGACTCAGCCCTGGGTCAAGATGAAAACTTTTCAGCAAGGCAGGAGCACTGAGCTTGCTTTCCTGCTACAACCCTCAGGGATGGGTTGGGACCCAGAGGTGGAGTTGTCCTTGGTGGGATGGGGGAAGTGCATGACCCCTAGGGACCCACACTGTTGCCTTTGTCACCCAGCCACCCCCCCAGGCCTTGTGGACTGGACTGGAGCTGGAAGTGTGAGCATGCCTGGGAGCACCAGGTAGGAGCCTGCAAGGGCAGAGTGCCAGTCCCACGGAGGAGAAGGAGGCACCGAGGGCCTTCTGGAAGAGGATTGGACCCTCTGCTTTGATTGAGGGAACTTATAGCCTGCTGTGGCCCAAGAGATCAACTTCCACCTATATGGATGGAGAGTGTTGTGTTCTCTGCTGCCCCTGGGGATGTGCTGTGTTAAGGGAAGACCCTGGCCTGGGACCCCCTGATATATTAGTACTACCTGAGGGAGGAGGAGCTGACTGCTAGCTCTCCAAAGACAAGAATTTATAAGGGGGTAAATGTGCTATGAAATATACTGTGCTATGTTACATATTGAATGCTATGTTCTGTTTTAGGCCTTGGGGGAAAGGACAAGAAACTTTCTTGTCTGTTTTAGGCCTTGTGACCACTCTGATGATATGCTGTGTTTGTATACCTGATCATGCCCAACATAATGTCTATGTTGCTAGAATCCATATTGTTATTTTAGCATCTTATTGTTGTATATTGTTGCAGTTCATATTGTTGTTATGTTATTATGGATTGTGGATGTTATGCTTTAGTTTCTTGGCTTGAGGACCCCTAAAAGTGTCACCTATTGTAGATTGTAAGAGCCAAAGTGTTGATGGGGTGAGCTCAGAGATCTCCCCCACCTTTGACCCAAATGGAATCTGGCTCCCACTTGTCTACAGATCCCAGCTCCTCATCTCCCTTTGAAAGCCTTAGCCTTACCTTTTGATCTTATTCTGATGTCTTCACTCCCCTTTGTCTGCAGGACCCAGAAAACCCTTAAACTTTCAAGTTTCTTATCTCCCTTTGGAAGCCTTAGCCCCACCTTTTTCCCTTACTCTGATGCCTTCTAGTTCCCTTCATTACAGGCCCCATAGAACACTTAAACTTTCAGGTTCCTTATCGACTCCCCTTATCTCCCTTTGACAGATGCCTTTCTGTTCCCTCCATTAGCTATTCCCATTGTCTATTCAATCTCTCAGACCTCCCCAATTAGAATTCTTACCTAGACCCTTTTCCCAGCCCTCTTCTCTGGCCTCCCAAAGTTACTTTAGTATATAAAATCTACCCTGGCCCCCATTCAGATGCTGAGAATCTCAAGCCCAAAAGGCTGAGACTTTCTCATGCCTGCTTCTCCTCATGGCATTACTAACATTCAGCTAATAGACTGAGAATCTTTCATGCCCCAAAGACTGAGCTTTTCTCATGCCCGCTGGTCCTTAGGGGTGCCACCTGGCCTATGCAATTTATCACTAATAAACTTTTCCTCTGGCTGAAAGAAGATTTGAGTTGAATTCATTCAGGCAGGTCCTGGTACTGCAATCTTGGGGTTCAAGCACCCCAAAAGTCCTAGGCCTCTTTGGTGTTACCTAGGTAGATTGTAAGGGCCAAGTGTTAGCTGTGTGGATTGTAAAGGCCAGGATCCTGGAGGGGTGGAGTGTAAGTAAGGTGAATTTCAGTGTGTGTAAAGTGGATTGTTATTCTTTCTTCCCAGGATCCATGGCCATAACTATCTCTACCTCCCAGGTGTTAAATATGAATTCTCATGATCATGGTTGAAAACAGTTTCTACCACGCTTGCACAGTAGATGTAGGGATGAAATGATGTAAAATTGTGACGCTATTGCTGGCAATGTGCCTTCTTTGTCTGTTTCCCTATAAAGCAAGCAGGCACTGGTCAGTGACTGGGAAACCCTGTAGAGGTGAATGTGCAGGCTAAATGCTGTGCCTGCCTTAATTGGCCCCCATCAAGGCTTTGGAGGGGGAATCTGTATTTACCTCAATGGGAGCTGGCCCCCACTGAGGCCTGAGGGGATTTAGGGGACAGCAGAAGTTGTGCTGGTCTTGACTGACCCCATCGAGTCAGGGGTTATTGCCCCCCTTCACGATGGCCCCTGTGAGATCGGTTGTTAGGGAATGCTATAGGAGTTGGTGCTCCTGAAGAGGTCTAGAGGTTTTGGGGTGCTGCTGGGAACCCCAAGATCACAGCGCCGCAACTTGCCTGAATGAATTCAACTCAAATCTTCTTCCAGCCAGAGGAAAAGTTTATTAGTGATAAAAACACTTAGGCCAGGTGACACCCGGAAGGACGAGGGGGCGGGAGAGATTCTCAGCCTCTGAATGGGGGCCAGGGTGGAAATTTTATACACTGAAAGTAACTTTGGGTGGCCAGAAGGGGGCTGGGAAAAGGGTCTAGGTAAGAATTCTGATTGGGAGGTCTGAGAGATTGAATAGACAATGAAGGAACCGAAAGGCATCTGAATGAGATCAAAAAGATGGGGCTAGAGCTTTCAAAGGGAAATTAGGGGAGTTGACAAGGAGAGTCGATAAGGAACCTCAAATGGGAGCCAGATTCCTTTTTAGGGGCAAAGGTGTATCTGAATAAGATTAAAAGGTAGGCTAAGGCTTTCAAAGGGAGATGAGGGGCTGGGACCTGTAGACAAATGGGAGCCAGATTCCCTTTGGGTTAAGGGGAAAGACCTCGGCCTGGGCCACACCCCATTATCAGCAAACACACCCACACTCCCATTATCAGCAAACTCCTTTTGAGAAGACTAGACTAGAATAAAGTAAGCTTATTTAACCCCTTATTATGACTCCATTCCTGTCTTCCTGTGTGACCAGATCAAAAGTGAACCTGCTAATGAGAGAGGTGCTAGAAGTCTTTCCGCATGTCTTTCCTAAGAAATGTCGAAGTAGGTGTGTTTATTTGTTCAACAATGCCTCACTCCCCAAACGATGCCAGCTCTTGCAGGTTACAGAGAGGACACTTACCCATGGTAGGACCAACTCTCTCACACACACACACACACACACACACACACACACATACACACACACATGCACACACACACACATACACACATACAATTTCTCTGATGCAGCTGGATCTATTCCCTCCACCCTATTACCTTATTTCCCCATTTATCTGAAAATCTCCTCCCTTAGTCCATGCCCTTCCACTCCCTAGTTGTCCTCAGGAATTCCAATTTTGCCATTCCCTAGGTAAGATGACTAGAATTATTCCGAAGTACCAAATTCCCCAGATAACACCTTTTCACCCTTAGGGGCATTTGTAATACAGAACATTATTTTGCCATTTAGGTAGTAGGGCCCTTTAAGCCATGGAAAGCAAAAGTTGGTGCTTAATCTTGCCCCAGACCTCTTTCCTCCTAAATCTAAACAATAGTGAAATGTACTCTTGCATAGCTCAGCATAGCCCTTACCTCCAACACAAATGGATAAGAAAGCTTGCAATATAATTGCTTTAGATAATTATGTTTATACCAGAGACCAGGACACCTGGTCTGGTTGTGTGATCTCTGATCTGTAATAATGGAGTGCTTGGGTGCTTCTGCTTGTACTTGTGCCCCAATTTCTCCCTACTCTCAGAAACACTGTCTCTAACAACCATTCCCCAGCCCAAGGACACTGTGCCTAGCAGTTATTCATGCATGGGCCTCAGCATGACCCTATCTCTCTCCCTGGTACAGCTACACAGAGCTGGGCTGCTCAGGCCCCAGTCCTCAGATCATGTCTTTGGAAGCCTCCCAATTCCTCAGTAAATTCCTGTGTTGTGAGAAAGCTTCCCCTTGTTGCAGAGCATTCTCTCATCAAGACAGAGGGAGAGGGGTGTCCTTGACCAGCTCAAGAACTCTTCCTCTTGCCAGACTTCAAAGATCCATCCCCCTCCCTGTCCTGTATACTCCCTGTACTTTCCCATCCATAGCCCCAAAGACACCTGCATCTTTGGATTACCTCATCAGTGTTCCTCGCATTTCTTTCCCGTGCTCTTTTCTATATAAACCCTAGCTTGACCCCTGATGGCTGCTGCTTGATTTGGATGTGCATACCCCTGGCAGCCGCATACTAATAAAGCCACATCTTAAATTACGTCTGGATCTCACTCACTGATTTCTCAGTACAACACATTCATCTGCAGAACTGCCTCTCACAGTCAAAGCAAGAACTCCCTCTTCCCAGATTTTTTTTTTTTTTGCTTTTAGGCAATTGGGGTTAAGTGATTTGCCCAGGGTCACACAGCTAGTAAGTGTCAAGTGTTTGGTCTGAGGCCGGATTTGAACGCAGGTCCTCCTGACTTCAGGGCCGGTGCTCTATCCACTGTGCCACCTAGCTGCCCCTCCTCCCAGATTTTCAATAGTCTGATCCCTCCCTCACATCATCTACTGTCTTGCCAGCTCTTGGGGTCACCTTTCCCTCATTCCTAGACCTCACCTTGACCAAATACATCACATACTTCTGTCTCTCCCCCCTGTTTACCTTTCCCCTTTCATGAACCCTCCCATTTTGTTATACAGTCCCATAAAAAAAAATTAAGCTATAGGCAAGGGTTACCAGTTTCTGTCCATAATACCTTAGGCCTGCCTCTCTATTGTTACCTCCACTTGACTTCCGTTTTTATCACTGCCTCCCTGTGTACATTAGAAAGAAGTCTCTTAGGACTTTCTCTGCTGTCATTGTTCCTTGTTGCTGTCTTTGGCTGCTACATTCACTCCTTCCTCCTGTATTTCTCTTGTCAGGTGAATTCAAGAAACAAATAATCTCTTCAGGTCTGGTTTTCTTTCTAGGAATGTTTCAAATACCTTTTTATTATTGAGCATCCATCTTCCTCCCATTTATGTAGTTTCATTTCACTTTGCATCTGCTGCTCTGCCTAGTTTCAATGCCATGAAATAATATACCCCTCTCAGGATAAACTCATCACTTCTAATCTCACCACCCTGCTGTAAACTCAAGCCTTAATTGACATTACCTCCATCAGCCTCCTCTCTCCTCTGATTAGAGGGTGAAGTACCAAACTCCTCCCAATGTCTTTCTTATTTCTGCCTTCCAGGAAGAAACTGGACTCTAGGTTCAGTCCACTTTGCATCTACTGTTCTGCCTGGTCTCAACTCAACAGAACAAGATGCCCCTATTCTAAGTACCCCATCCTCCAGTGTCTCCCCCACTTTCCTGCCCCCTTTTGGGTGTTGTCTCCCCTTTACCTGTACTCCATTAGATTGTAAGCTGCTTGAGGTTAGGGACTGCCTTTCCTTTTCTTGCTTGTATCACCAGCACTTAGCACATGGCCTGGCACATAGTAGGCACTTAATAAATGTTTATTGAATTGGATTTAACATGTCCTGCCCCTCTCCAATATACTCCCACATTGTCCTTTCCCATTCCTTGGGTTTCTCAATTCTCTGGCCCAGTGGTTCAGAGCTCTGCCACCCTGGTGCCATTGCGATCAAAAGTGATTTCTGTCATTTGGAGTTGTCAGGGTTCTGGGGGGAAAGAGGGTGACACATGGGGTTGAGATCTATTTCAAGTTCAGACATATGTCCTGCTCCTTTCTTTTCCTCCAAACTCCAGTAGAAATCTTGCAGCATGGAATATTGTTGTGACACTGGACACCCAGGTCTCAGCAAACTTTTATGTAATTTGCAGCCTGGATCTTCACTGGAAAGAAGGAGAGGAGGCTTGGGTCCTTTGGTCAGCTAGTACAGCTTCAAACCTGGCAATGTGTTGGCAGTGGGAGAAGGCATGCCAGGTGAGCTGGGATAGGTTTCTGTTCTTTTTTTGGTTCCAGGTGTCCTAGGCCATGGAGACAGCTGGGGTTATTTTATCTTTGGTGCATAATTTCTGTTCTGGAGAGGTTTGAGAGATTATGAGGATCAGAGAAAATATCAAGTACTCCATCTTGTTGGTCATGTGACCCACTCAATGCTTATTCTACCATCCTTCCATGCCTACATTTGTTTAGGTTGTATATTTTTTTTCCCTTTTAAATGTTTCTTTTTTTTTTTTAGTTTCAGATTCTTTGTTTGTAATGAAGAATAAAAGCACTGATATAGCTCCTCTTGGGAACAACGTGACCCTGAAATGTAACTTGACGATCCCAGTAGATGTTCTGCAGATTACCTGGCAAAAGGTCCAAGGGTCCGTACCAGAAAACATAGGCACCTACAGCAGCCAGTATGGTAGAAAAATTTTCCCACCATACAATGAAAGGATCCACCACAGCAGTGAAGAACTGACATCGTCAAGCATGACTATATACAATGTGACCTTGGAGGATGATGCATGTTACAAATGTCTCTTTAATGTTTTTCCAAATGGTATCCATGAAGGACAAATGTGCTTCAGTGTACAAAGTAAATGGAAAACTGTTTTTGTGCCATACTGTTTTCTAGAAGGGCCAGATTGTCTCAAAAGCAGGGATGGGGGACAAGGAGAAGGGGCAGATGTTACACCTAACATTTTGTTATAATGGCACTTAAGATCAGAGTCTTCAGTCATAGAATATCAGGACTGAAAGTAGTTTAGAAATTGTTTAATCTAAACTTCTCATCATGCCATGCTATATCTCCTAGGTCAAATGACACATTTAATGTGGTCATGACCTGTGAAGTAAGTCCAAGTATTTCTTGTTGAGAAAATGCAGATAGAGGCTACAAAAGTGCTCGCATTCAGAAGGTATTTAATAAAGGTGGATGCTTATTTTTAAACAATAGCAAAAAGTATCTGAATGAAAGATAAGAGTAGGGCAGTGTAAAGAATTGCTCAAAAAAGTCAACTAGTGGTTCAGTTGTGACTGCTATTTGCCTCTCCCCTCCCCATCCCCACCCCCACATATCTGGGTGTTTCTTTACCTGTGGTAACTTTCTTTTCTTCTTGTAATATTCAAAGTCAAGGATTGTATGTCCTCAAATGAAATTAGAGACTCCATGAAGATGCTCCCTTTTTACTGTTCTTAATGTAGTGAAGTTTGTGGAGCCCCAGGGTACATGGCTACAAATACCCAGGAAAACTATTATCAACATATTTAAAGCTTCATGACAAAAATTTGGGGAGGACCATCAGTATGGAAGTTAGCATGGCCTAATAGATCCAGGCCTGGCTGACGAGACAGGAAGACCTGGGTTCACGTCTCACCCACCTCTGACACATACTGACTGGGATTCTGGGCAATTTGTTGAACAATTCAGTGCCTCCTGGAAATGCTTGAGATTGTAAGTTGCTGAACTACTTAGGAGTTCTCTAAACCAATGAAATTGTAGGTCCAGACTAAAATAATTTGCATGCTTTATGGATATGGGTGATTTCTGAATTTTCTTTTTGTTTGACTTAGATGTCTGAATTAAGAATTGAGTGCCATCCTCATCCCAATGAGGGAATCCTTATAGCCATCTGCTCAGCTACAGGAAAACCTACCCCTCGCATCACCTTTTCCCATGAGAGCCTGCTGTTGGAATCGCCTAAGGAACACATTGATCAGAACCCAGACGGCATAGCTAATGTCACCAAATGGTATAACATGTCACTGGAGGCTATGAGATCTTTGAAACTTTGGAATGTATCCTGTGACATGGATCATCCCCTAAAGAAGATAAAAAAAATGTTTGTTATCCTCAGGAATCAGAATGTAAGTAAAAAATAGAGACCAGTGAGATAAAATTTTAATTAATATGCTTGTTGTGGTCCATATCTTTCAGGTAAATGAAATATTATTATATGTAGGAGTGTGTGTGTGTGTGTGTGTGTGTGTGTGTATGTGCTTCTGTGTGTGTGTGTGTGTGTGTGTATAAGGCAAGTAGGTGACACAGTGGATAGATCACCAGGCCAGAGTCAGGAAGATTTCTCTTTATGATTTCAAATTTTATTTCAATCCCTCCTCATCCTCAGAAAACTAGATTTCTTCATTCTAGAACGTGTCTCTCTGGCATTCCTATCTATTCTGAACACAATTAAGAACCAGAGGGAAAGCAAAAACACCTTGGAAGCAGCCAAGGAAGCTATCTCAAAGTCAACTAGCTCACTTTATAATAAAAACATTTCCGGTCTTCACTTATTTTATTTTTAAAGTCTTATCAATGTGTTTTGTTTTTATATTGCAAACATTTACAGGTTAGTACTCTCACTTTGTGAGAGGTCTCTTGTAACTGAGTAAAACAGTTAGGAAAAACTGATAATACTATAAGATTGTCTGAAAGTATATGTGACATTTCACATCTGTAACACTACCCCTCCACCTTTCACCACATTCATGTGCCACACCTTATTGAGCCATTCCTCAATTGATGAGCAGCCTCTTAGTATCTAGTTTTTTGTCACCACAAAAATGCTGTTATAAAGATGCACTTTTATTTTACATGAAATATAGAGCATATGTATTATATGGAATATATAGCAAGGTTGGTTATCTGTTTGCTTAAGGCAGGACAAATTAGCTACAGCAAATTAGAAAGACAGAAAGATTGCCACAAGTAGGCATGCCAATACAAAGCAAGCAGTGTCAAATATTAACCTGGAAGTTTGGGTGGAGCCCAAAAACTTATAGAATGCAGACCCAAGACCCTAAACACTACCACAGTCTGAGGCCTTTGTGGTGCAGTAATAAATAATTCTAAGCATATAAATTTCACTAAGTCCTGGGAGTCTTGAATGATACTCATTAATCTCTTTTTAAGAAAGTCAAGAAGGATATAATGCAATTTAAAAAAATCTAAAATAGTTAAGTTCTTTAAAAAAAAAAACCATGCCTTTTTTTGAGACCAGGCATAGTGATGCATACCTATAATCCTTGTTACTGGAAGGCTGAGACTGGTGGATGCCTAGAGCTCTGAAGTTCTGAGCAGTGGTAATCCCAAAGCTGATAGGGTATCTGCACTATGTTGTCACCTATATGATGATCCCCTGGGATGAGGAGTCCACCAGGCTGCCTGAAGAGGGGCCAACCAGCCCAAGGTGGAAATGGAGCAAGTCAAAGTTTCTCTGCTGATCAACAATGGAGCTGGGCCCAGAAATGACTGCCACTCTATCAGCCTGGGCTACACAGGGAGACCCAGTCTCAAAACGAAACAAAACATTTTTTTTTTTGCTTTTAGGCAATTGGGGTTAAGTGACTTGCCCAGGGTCACACAGCTAGTAAGTGTCAAGTGTTTGGTCTGAGGCCAGATTTGAACTCAGGTCCTCCTGACTTCAGGGCTGGTGCTCTATCCACTGTGCCACCTAGCTGCCCCCAAAAAACTTTTTGAGATTGAAATAGGTAAACATCAACAGGAAAACTTATCTATACAAAATGAAATATTGCAAATAGTGAAATTTTAACATTCATTTTAACTGTATATCAACAATAGAAAATGACAATATAGTTTGCTAAGCGACTTGGTCATCTAAACAAACTCTCTTCATATATATGAAATATTGTATCATTATAAGACTTAAAAGTCATCCATAGGTATTTGTGTCTGTTCTTCTATGAGCCATCCACTAGCAACTAAGAAGAATGAGCCAGTGTAAGTTGGAAAGTTATTGCTTATCTGCTAGTGGATTATTCATACTCTAGTATATCTCTAGGAAACTCTGAGGTGAGAAGGAGGGAGGAAATAAACATTTATGAAGCACCTGCTATGTGCCAAGCACTGTGCTAAGCATTTTGAAAGAAAAGGGAAAAGGAATGACTCTTCCTCTTAAATTGTGATTAACTCTTTTTTACCACCCTCTACCTAGCCTATCTGCCAGTTTGAAGGATAGAAGTTAGTTTAGAAAAAGGAGGAGAAAGAGAGAGTGAGTTTTAAGGCAGTTGGCATCCACTGGTAGTGGAGGAGGGGAAATTAAGCTAAGATGCTGTTCACCCTCCTCTTTTCCTCATTTAATGAGCTGATCTGCCACAAGAGTTAGTCAATCAGCTGAAAAGCATTCATGAAGTACCTACTATGTGCCAGGCACTGAGCTAAGTGCTGGGGATATCATTACAACACTTGGGGATGTTGTGGCCTAAGATGATGACAATGATGTGAGGCACAGAAGTAATTCTGGTCCATACAAGGAGTATGCATGTAACCCATCAGGTATAAGAGGTGTCGTGATGTAATTAATGATCAAGCCCTAGACTTAAGTGGAGGAACTTGTGTTTAAATCATGAATTCTATTACTTCCAACCTACGAAACCTCATCCAGATCATGCCCTCTCTGTATGCCTCAGTTTCCTGATCTGTAAAATGAGCAGGTTAGATTCAATAACTTCCAAGGATCCTTGCAGCTATAACTCAATATGAGCCTATTTCTGAGCAAGTGTGTTTCTCTGACTACTTTAGAAAGTAAATTCTCATGATTGTTGTATTACCTATGCTGCTTCTCTGCTCTTTTACTAAAGATACTCAAGTGGAATTAAATCTAGCCCTGAGCAAAATTATCCCATTCATGGAGTCAGTCATTCACTTACCATATGTCAAGCACTATCATACGTACTGGGAATGTAAAGAAAGGGGAAAAAAATATGGTCCCTGTTCTCTAAAATCTCACATTCGAATTGGGGAGATAACATGTGAACAATTATCCTTTTAGAGATATATAAAAGCAGAGTCAAGATGGCAGAGAAAAGGCAGCCACTCACCTGAGCTCTTCCCAAAACTCCTCCAAACACCTTTAAATAATGTCATAAGACAATTCCTGAAGTGGCAGAACCCACAAAAGGACAGAGTGAAATAATTTTCCAGCCAAAGACAACTTAGAAGGTCAGCAGGAAAGGTACCTTGCACCTGGGTAAGAGTGGAGGGCAGTCCAGCCTAGGTCTCTTGAGCACAGCCCTGGCCACAACAAACCAGGGGCAGGCCTTGGGAGTGATCAAATCACCTGTGGCAGCAGCTGCTTCTGGAGTTCTCAGCCTGAATAGAAACTTTGGCTTTCAAATACAAGACTCAAGAGAAGCATGAAAAAGTAAACAGGAAAAGGAAATCATAAGGAACTTAATAAGGTTAAACTGTTTACATTCCTATATGGGAAGATGATACTTGTAAGTCATAAGAACTTTATTATTAGGAAAGATAGGGGTATATATAGACAGAGGGCACAGGTGTGAGTTGAATATGAAGGGATGATATCTTAAAAAAAACAAAATTAATGGGTGAGAGAGGAATACACTGGGAGAAAGGGAAAGGGAGAAGTAGAATGGGGTAAATTATCTCACATAAAAGAAGCAAGAAAAAGCTTTTAGTGGAGGGGAAGAGGGGGAGATGAAAGGGAGTGAGTGAACCTTATAATCATCAGAATTGGCTCAAAGAGGGAATAACATACACACTCAATTGGGTATAGAAATCTAGCTTAACCTACAGGAAACAGGAGGGGAATGGGATAAGATAAGGGGGAGGGGTGATAGAAAGGAGGGCAGATTAGGGGAGAGGGTAGTTAGAAACAAAATACTTTTGTGGAGGGACAGGGTGAAAGGAGAGAGAGAATAGAATGAACAGGGGACGGAGATAGGATGGAGGGAAATACAGTTAGCAATAGTAACTGTGAAAAAAGTTTGAAGCACGTTTCTCTGATAAAGGCCTCATTTCTCAAACATATAGAGAACTGAGTCAAATTGATAAAAATAAGAACATATATAGAGTGTGTGTGTGTGTAGAGGTAGTGTATCCCAAGAGGGTTGTCACTAGGGAAGGTGGGGTGTGGAAGAGACTGGAAAAATACCTCCTGTAGAAGGCAAGATTTGAGCTGAATCTTGAAGGAAGGCAGAGAAGGCCAGAGTAGGAGACAAATAAGGAGAGTATCCAGGCATGGTGGGATAGCCAGTGAAAAGACATGGGTCAGGAATGTCATGTGTGAGGAACAGCAAGAGAGTGGGTATTGCTAAATCATAGATTACGGAAGACAATTTTTAAAAATAGGAAGGAATACATTTGTGAAGGAATTTAAATACAAAAGATTCTATATTTGAATCTGGAGGCAATAGGGAGCCACCGGAATTTATTTTCATACAGTGGTGACATAGTCCTGCGCTTTAGGAAGATCACTGTGACAGCTGAATGGTGGGTAGATTGGAGTAGAGTGAGACCTTCTACAGGGAGACCCACTAGCAGCCCAAGTAGGCAACAGTCCAAGTATGAGGCAACGAGGGGTGCCACCAGAATGGCAGTGTCAGAAGAGAGAAGAATATATTAAGGTGGTCTGGATTCTGACTCAGAGTGAAATTATGAAAGTTTTCTTCAATTCTTAAAATGTCTTGCAGAATAAATATGCCAAAGCAAACCAACACTGGATCTAGAGAAAGGTACTGATAAGTTTTCCTTATGATTAACCAAAGCAGAACACAAAGTTAAACTTGAAATAGTAAACAAAATAAGATACATGTATAGGGAATTAGGGTGATTAATATATGGCATTTATGGTTTGTGTTTTCTAGCCATTTCCAATCACTCATCATTGAGGGTATGTGAACACCTGATAGCATCTCTCTTCATGTGCCCATGATATTCATTATCTGTTTTCTAATCTTCAAAATAAAAAGGTAAGTTGCAATAGTAATTGATAAATGCAAAAACTGGGGGTTAGACTCAGGACTGGCCTCACGTTTGGGCAAACCTGTTTTTAGTGGCCTTGGAAAGGCACAAATCATCTACGTGGCCTCCTTTCTGATGCTTAAAACTTAAGCCTTATGAAACAGCACATTATATTGAAAAAACCCACTGGATGAGAACTCATATGACCAGGATTTAAGTCTCTGCTCTGCTGATTACTAACTGTATGATGCTGGGCATTAACCCACGTGATGCCAAGGTCCCTTTCAGTTCTAACGAAACGTAGTTAAGCTGAAATGCAATGCAGATTCCTGAGAAAAAGTAAATTTGGAGCTGTTGTTAACTGTTTACAGGTATTAAACAAATGTATTTTTTCAACAGGCAGTTATGTGGTGCAGTAGATAGATTGCTGAGCCTGGAGTCAGAAGACCTGAGTCCAAATTCGGACTCAGACACTTCCTAGCTATGTGACCTTGGGAAAGTCATTTAACATCTGCCTTGGTTTCCTCTAATGTAAAATGGAGGTAATAGTAACACTCACCTCTTAGGGTTTTTGTGAGGATCAAACAATGTAATATTTGTATAGTGCTTATCACAGTGATTGTTATATAGTGGTATCTAATAAATGCTTATTTCATCTCTTCCCCTCCTCCCCCATTCCTATCCCCCTTACTCTTCCCCTGGCCTTCCTCTCAGGTGTAGGATTTGGTAGGAAAAGAGCAGGTAGAGGACACTAGAGAGGGCGCAAAAGACAGTGAGGGGGCCAAAAGCATTATATAAAGAGGGTAATTATTGGTAGGCCTATCCTGACTCATAACTCACAGTTTTGCTTAGGAACTGACCAAAATCAAACATGTTTTTCAAATCAGCCCAATTGGTAGGAGAGGAAAATGCTTGGTTTAAAAGATATATGATCTCAAAATTAGATTTTGGAGAGAATATGATAATTTCAATACTGATGTCATATCACTCTGTGCTAATTGTTATCAAATACATTTAAGGCATGGTACCATTTTCCAAATGGCACCTCCAGAATATCTAACTACCCCAAGTTCAAGGTACTCCATGGGTCCATATCCCCTCAAAATCCCAGTTCATAAACTCTCCTCCCACTATCATTTACTTTTTTCCTACTCAATAGAAATAATTGGTTCGAAGCAAAAGTCTTGAAAAGCAGCCATGTGGCATAGTGGATAGGGCACTGGGTCTGAAATTAAGAAGACTCATTTTCCTGAGTTCAAATCAAGCCTCACGCACTTACTAGCTGTGTGACTCTGGACAAGTCACTTAACCCTGTTTGCCTCTGTTGCCTCATCTGTAAAATGAGCTGGAGAAGGAAATGGTAAACCACTCCAGTAAGTCTGCCAAGAGAACCCTAGATGGGGGTCACAAAGAGTTGGACATGACTGAAAACAACAGAACAACAAAAAAGTTACTTGAATGAGATAGCAAATAAAAGCAGAAAAAACAACTTTTCCCCCCATAAACATGGGCCACATTCTCATACAAATACACACATGATCAGTGGGGAGAGTGGATAAGCTTAGAGATCACAAATGAGAGCCACATATGGGAGCCAGCGCATACCTGGGCAATGGCCTCATTCCTCCAGTACTCCATGGGTGCCAATATCTTGTGGTCCTCCTGGGTCTGCTGCCTGCTGGGGATGGTGGCTTTGATGGGCACATTCATGTGGATTTCTGAGTGTTTAATAAGGAAATAAACATTTATTTTTATTTTATTTCATTTTTTTTTTTGGCAATTGGGGTTAAGTGACTTGCCCGGGGTCATACGGCTAGGGAATAAACATTTATTAAGCATCTACTATGTGCCAGGCACTGTGCTACGCACTTTTAAAAATACTATCACATTTGTTCTCACTATATTCCTGCAAGATAGTGGATATTACAGTTGAGGAAATTATTGCAGAGAAAAGTTTTGATTTGCCCAGGGTCACACAGATAGTAAGTGGGTGAAGTCAGATTTGATCTCAGGTCTTCCTGACTTCAGGCCCAGGCCTCTATCCACTGCATCACCTGGTAGCCTTTGGCAAAACCTGGCTGCCTCTAATCTTTGCAGGGACTTTTTATTTTTATTTTATTTATTTTTAGGCAATTGGGGTTAAGTGACTTTCCCAGGGTCACACAGCTAGTAAGTGTCAAATGTTTAGTCTGAGGTCGGATTTGAACACAGGTCCTCCTGATCCCAGGGCCAGTACTATATCCACTGCACCACCTAGCTGTCCCTTGTAGGGCCTTTTTATACTGGTGTCTGATGTTTTTTTGGCAGCTGCAAGATAAACAGTGGTGGTTGGGCTTTGCTCCCTGATACCAGCTGCTGGGCATCGTTTCTCTCATACCACCTACTTCAGCTCTGGAACGGGGTGGGGGTGGGAAACGCTAGAAAACCTTTACCTGATAAACCACACTGATGTATCTTTAGTCTTTATCATCAGATCCAGTTAACAAAAGCCAGGCAGAGTGCCCCCACTCCAAGACTGTTTTTTTTTCTCTCCAAGTGTTGGAATGATGGCTTGTATCTTTTTGTGAATGATCTATGGGAGACACTGTAGTGCAATCAAAGGAGCACTGTCTATGCAGTGGGAGTACTAGAGTTCAAATCCTACCTCTCACTTAATACTTATATGACTTTGAATAAATCGAGTAATAAGTGATTTGTCTAAGCTATTAGGTTAGTACATGGCAATTACATACAACAACAAATCTCTGCATTTCTGTATTTTTTGTGCACCTGCCATTTTTTCTTTCTGTACCTCCCGGGCCTCAGTTTCTTCATCTGTAAAATGAAGGGAACTTTGAAGATAAACTTCCATGATCCTTAATCCATATCATGACATTAGGGAAAAGTATTAGGACTTTCTGTGGGCAAGAGTAAGCTCAGAAAGATCCTATACTGATGATTCTGATGGAAGAAATAATATCTGTATATATTGAAGCAAATGGGCATTCTCTTATTGTTCTCTTTGTACCCATCTCCAGGATAAAGAATACAAATAATCACAGCTCTGGTCAAAATCTTTCCTTTGAGAAACCAAAGAAAGAGAAGCCCATGGAGCCAGACCCCAAGAAAGAGAATATTCTCAATCACAATGAGGTAATTGGTGATCATACAATCTGTACTCTTGTTGTACATGATTTTAATCTGTGCTATAAATGTTCAACTGTGGTTGTGGTATGGCATAAATTTTTTGTGCTTTGATTTTGAGAGTGGAAAAAATAATCACAAAGGGAATAAGTGATTTGCCTAAACTAATATAGCAAATTCATTACATGGCAATTATATGCAATAAAAATCTCTGCATTTTCACATAGTTTTATATATCCACCAATGTTTTCTTTTTATTCTAAAACCATATTCATACGACATATATGATTAGAATGTCACAATATTTCCTCCAATCATGCAAATTTAAGACATTAATTATGAATATTTGTGTGTTTGCTTTTAAATTAAAATCACTAGGGGCAGCTAGGTGGAGCAGTGGATAGAGCACCGGCCCTGAAGTCAGGAGTACCTGAGTTCAAATCCGGCCTCAGACCAAACACTTGACACTGTATGACCCTGGGCAAGTCACTTAACCCCAACTGCCTAAAAAAACAAACAAACAAAAATAAATAAATTAATTAAAATCACTGTTTAAGTAGCAGTTATTCTGAAAAAAGATTCATTCATTCATTTAATACGTATTTGAGGTTGTTGTAAAATGACGATTTAGTGTTAAGTCAGCAATGTAACATATGGATGTCAAAAAAAGTACTGTGATTTTAGGTTTTGTTAAGAGAAACACATCATCTGGGCATGAGAAAGAACCAGCACATGCTGGTGAGTGCAGAAGCAGTGAGGCAGGACACCCCTGGCTGTGGGCACTTACAGGAGGCTGGAGATTTGATTTTGGTTCTAGGCTACAGGGGGACACTGTCCAGGGGTACTATCCCCCATACCCCAGCACTAGAGGTGATAGCAAAAATTAAGCTATTACTACAAAAAAAATGCCCAAGTAAAGGTGAAAGAATCCAACATTGTAAGAAAACTTACAAGGGAAACAGAACAGAGCATGTAGTATTTATCATAATTTATTGCTACATGTTTTGAATCCTCTCTTATATACTGCTATGCACATGACATGCTTCCCCCCCTTTTCTTACTTTGTATTTAAGTTTCAATATTGAAGTTTATGATTTTCTTTTCCCTTTTCTCTATTCTGTATTTGAGTTCTGGTGTTTGAGTACTAAAGAAAAAAGAAAAAAGAAAAAAAGAAAAATATAATCTCAAAAAGAAAAAAAAATAATTTTAAACATAATTTAAAAATTAAAAAAAGAAATTAAATTTTTTTTCTAAAAAAAAGAGCAGCGTTTGTAAGTCATATTTTTGCTGCATTGACATAAGTATCCTTAAATTTCTCCTCCTTTTACTCTCCCATCAAAATTGTTAATGTTTTCATCATCGGAATTTCATTCCTGAGAGCCTCCTATCTACCTTTGATTTCCTTAGTACATCCTCAGGAAATGGAATCTTATCTATATAGTCTCTGAACTTTTGGTCATTTTTTCCCAAAAAAAACCTTGATATAGTTCATCAAGAAGAGAAAACTTGGGGAAATTGAATGGATAAATGGATAAGTGACCTTAATATTAAAAATCTTATTATAAAAAAATTAAAGAGATCATATATGTCTTACACTATGGTTAGGAGATTAGTATTTAACCAAGCAAGGGATAGAGGAAATTTCCAAAGACAGAAAAGATGATTCATTACATGAAACTGAAAACCTTCTGCACAAATATAATTAATACACCTAAACTAAGAATGGATTGAATGGGGGGAAAAATCTTTATATTGAATTTCTATGACAAAGGTTTAATCTCTCTCTCTCTCTCTCTCTCTCTCTCTCTCTCTCTCTCTCTCTCTTATTTGCATTTTAAACATTGCCAGAAGGAAATTTGTTTGACTGGGCTGAACATTTTTGTTCCAAGAGCTTTTTCTTCTTTTTTCATTGGTTTGGGAGGATAGTAAGGAAAGAAGCTGAAATACTTTTTTTTGGTCTTTTCCTCATGCAGAATCAAACATATATTTTTCAGATACAGATGAAATACAGTGACACATGCAGGTGTTTATTTTACTTGGTTATGTGAATTTGTTTCAAAAAGATGTTTTTTAATTGTAAGGATGGGAAGCAGAGAAAATAGATGATTGTTAATTGAAAAAAAGAGTAAAATAGAATTTTAAAAATCAAAGGAGAGTTGAAGCATATTTTAAAAGTAAAGATTGCTGAAGTATGTTTTTTAAAAGCAAAGCCAAAAATGACATAAGCCTTACAGATAAGCCTCAAAACTAAAGAAAATAATTGAATATTCAGTGAAAAGAAAGAATTTGAATACTTTCTTCAAAAGAATCCAGGGATGAGAGGGGCATTCAACACGTAAATTGATCAAGCTGAAGAAAGTTAAGTCCTTTCAGATAGAGGTAAGAGTAAGAAATGAAATGTTTTCCCATCCAAGAGAGATAAGGACATGAGTTTGGAGTAGAAAAGTATTGCTGCTTCTTTCTTTGCTTTTCCTTTAGAAAAAAAAAAGCTTCACACACTGTCTGGGAGGCTTTGCAAAGGCAAGGAAGGTTACAGTTGGCTAACAAATCTGAGGAATAGTAGAGGAAATAGGAAGAGAAGTTAACTTCAGGGCCAAAAAAGCTTATCCTCTCATTGACAAACAAATATTGTTTGTGGGAAAATAGAGCGGAATTCCCCTGGGTTAGGGAGAAAAGGAGGTGCTACAGAAAGGCCTGTGTAGTCTAGTCATGACTTAAGAGAAGTGTACAAGAAACCTTCAATCCCCACACAGATACACACATCTGTATCAAGATCATGAATTCCATGAAGCCATCTTTGAATCAGGAAGATTTATTAATGACCTGGGAAGGCCGGGCATCCCGCATGTGTAAGAGCACACATGTGACAGCACAGGAATTGACAAATGCACACCTTTTTATTCCCTATTCCTCACTTTCCCCCAATTTCCCTTATTCCCCAGTTTCCTTCTCCTGTCTCCCTATTTGCTGGGTACTGTAGAGGTTAATTTCCCCAAGTCTCCGCCCCTAATTGCATCTCCCATTTCCCGCAATTCAGGAAACCTGGCCCTTACTTGGGAACACCCCTTTTGATGTTAAATATCTAATCTTAGAAGTGGTTTCCCATCTGTTAATCTATTCACCACCAAGAGTGTTTTCTTTAACTCCTTTTGTTCAACTTCCACTTAGCCCCCAGACTGCATTCCTTTCCACTTGACTTTTGTGGAAATAAAAAAAAATTAAAAAAGCAAACTATTTCTCACATTCCCTTCCAGTTTAAACTGACTCCAACTTCTGATTGAGCAACATGCAGAAGCAACATCCCCGTATATCCCACAACACATACTTGGTGGAGTGGGTGAAGAGAATAATCAGAGAACACTTTTTGGGGGAGGAGGATGAATTTTCAGAAGTAGTGAGAGTTGGGTAAAAAAGAGACTATCTAGCAGTCTTACGAGGCAATCTGCCCAGGGAGGGAAGGGACACTGGCTTGGAGAAAGGGGTTGAGGTCTTGCAGAGAGCTTTGTAGGGAATATACTCACTTCAGAAAAACAATTCCTCCAAGCCAGAGCTATACTTCGTGGTACTCCTTCCCAACAGAGGGGAGGAAGCAGCTGGGATCCCATGGCACGGTTAGAGAAGGTAGAACAGGTAGGGCATGTTACATTCAAAGAGGAGAGGCCATGGTAACAAAAAAGATAAGCAATGCAGGGAAAAGCCAAGAACAGGATCAAAGTCTCTTGTCTTGGCTTACAGAGCATTTCTGTCTACATTCTTTGGCCTCTGTCAAGAATTAACATTCCTTGCAGGTTGGTTCAACATTAGGAAAACTATCAGCATCATTGAGCATATCAACACCAAAACCAACAGAAATCACATGATCATCTCAATAGATGCAGAAAAAGCTTTTGACAAAATACAACACCCATTCCTATTAAAAACATTAGAAAGCATAGGTATAAATGGAGTCTTCCTTAAAATAATAAATAGCATCTATCTAAAACCTTCAGCAAACATTATATGTAATGGGGACAAGCTAGAAGCATTTCCAATAAGATGGGGGGAGGTGAAACAAGGATGTCTATTATTACCACTGTTATTCTATGTTGTACTGGAAACATTAGCTTTAGCAATAAGAGAAGAAAAAGAAATTGAAGGTATTAGAATAGTCAAAGAAGAAACAAAGCTATCACTCTTTGCAGATGACATGATGATATACTTAGAGAATCTTAGAGAATCAAGTAAAAAATTACTTGAAATAATAAACAACTTTAGCAAAGTTCCAGGCTATAAAATAAACCCACATAAATCATTGGCATTTCTATATATTACCAACAAGGCCCAATAGCAAGAGATAGAAAGAGAAATTCCATTTAAACTTACCGTAGACATTATAAAATATTTAGGAGTCTACCTCCTGAAACAAACCCAGGGACTCTATGAACACAATTACAAAACACTTTTCACACAAATAAAATCAGATGTAAATAATTGGAAAAACATCAGTTGCTCATGGGGAGGCTGAGCTAATATAATAAAAATGACAATCCTACCTAAGCTAATTTACTTATTCAGTGCCATACCAATCAAACTACCAAAAATTATTTTATAGAGTTAGAAAAAATAATAACAAGATTCATTTGGAAGAACAAAAGGTCCAGAATATCAAAGGAACTAATGAAAAGAAATGCAGGGGAAGGTGGCCTAGCAATTCCAGATCTTAAATTGTATTATAAAGCAGCAATCATCAAAACTGCTTGGTACTGGCTAAGAAATAGAGTGGTGGATCAGTGGAATATGCAAACAGTAGTCATGACAAACTAAATTACCAGACCCGACCTACTCTTTGAAAAAAACTTCTGGGAAAACTGGAAAAGAGTATGGCAGAAACTAGGCATAGACCCAAATCTCACACCATATACCAAAATAAAGTCAAAATGGGTTCATGATTTAGATACAAAGGCTGATACTATAAGCAAACTATCAGATCTGTGGAGAACAGAAGAATTCATGACCAAACAGGAGATATA